ACGGTTTGATAACAATTTGCTCAAACCAAATGATTTAGTTTAAAACCGAAAAACCGTAAACCAAACCAAACACCGAACAACTTGTAATATACTATCGTATATTAAATATGTTAAGATTATATATTTAATATATAGAGTAATGATCCGGTCAGGAGCTCCTGACCGGAACCGCCGTCCGGACCAAGGCGTTTGGCCGCCTTCCCGGTGGCTTTTTTTGATGCAATTTTTATGGCATGTTCTCCATCAAGTCTAGTTTATCCACAAAAAAATTCAGCCAAAAACTCAATCGGGAAGATCGTCAAATGATTTTTGCAAGTTAACTGGTCCGGAAAATACATATTCCGGACCAGTTAACTTGCAAAAATCATTTGAAGACCTTCCCGATTGAGTTTTTAGCTGAATTTTTTTGTGGATAAACTAGACTTGATGGAGAACATTCCATAAAAATTTCATCAAAAAAAATCCACCGGGAAGGCGGCCAAACGCCGCGGTCCGTACGGCGGTTCCTGTCCGGACGTCCGGACAGGAATATTTGTGTTAATATATATATATATATATATATATATATATATATATATATATATATATATGTACTTTGTATTTATCTTCACTCTTCCTTTTTTAGATTTAAATAAATAATTTAGACATGAAAAATAAATAGTTAGCACATATCATTTTAACATTAGCAATTTCATGCATTCATTATGAAAAAGTTAGCTAATACTACATATTTATATTTGTTATGTTTTGTACTCTACCTGTATGAAAAATGTTTGGCGATGAATATATCAAAGTGTATTAATATTTTTTACATGATTCATCTGAATAAAATTGTGAACATCTCAACATTTGTACAAACGACTCCTTTAGTTTTCTTTGAATATTTTATGTGATATTATAAATGTTAATCAACTATAAATTTATTTTTTGTAAGAAGTGAATCTTTTTATAGTGATCGAAAAGATCTTAGAAGTTTTAATTTATACTACATAATAAATTAAAAATATCTTTTATATAGAAAAGATCTTTTTATATCTTTTATTGCCTTTTACATTTTATTTAAATAATAAAAAAAGAAGATGAATGGACTACTACTTTCATTTTCTAATTCTATAATATAGAACTTGATAATCAAATAAATAATAAATATAAAAAACTAAATCAAATCGAACTACAATGGAGCTAATCTATCTATCTATCTATATATAATAAGAAAAGGTTTCTTGCATTGCAAGATCCCGCCAAAACTTCTTATATATACTTTATATATCTACATTAACTCGGCTAAATGAATGTCATGTTGTGCTTTGGAGAAAAAAACATTTAATGGAAATCTTAGGAAAGAGTGAGCCCTTTCAGCTTCTCAATGCATGTCATTTCAGATTTTTGTACGTGTCATCTTAATTAATTATGTTGTACATCTTTCGCAAGGGAAAAGCCAAAAATATTTGTAAGCAATATAATATACGTAGGTTAGCATGCATGTCCTTTTCTTTAAGGGTTTAAGGCATAAATTTGGTTAATATTTTAAGATATACGATATTAGTACAGGAATACAACAAGGAAAAATTTAAAAGCTTAACAAGCTAGGGAAAAAAGTAAAGATTTAAAATTTATTTAAAGAACACGGATATTGAGTAAAACCCATTTTTATAGACTCCTTTTAGCTCATGACAAGAGGTTAAAACCCATTATCATAAATATTCTTTTAATGCACCGATTAATATTATGAATGACATAAGATAAAATATTTCAACATTTTAGACAAAACCGAGAATTTGTTGACATGGAAAGTGCAGTTTGAAAATGTTCACTTTCGAATAGATCAAATATATTCTGGGGTTACATACTTTTTTTGGAACAATGAAAATGTTCACTTTCGAATAGATCAAATATATTCTGGGGTTACATACTTTAAAAAAACATATTATTCCTATTTTAGATCATGCCTAAGAATATTATTACAGTCAATTATATTATATTATAATTTCTGCTATTCGGGGATCCATACTTCAATGACATAAATTTTCACTCATTTTGAGAATGAATGTTAGGTTTCCTCTTATATCAAATGATCCTACATATTTTTATACTTTTATTCTTTCTTATACAGAGTACTTAACTTTATAATTAACTTTGTTGTTTCAATTTTGCTAACTTGGTCACATTAAATGGGGTAGTAATTCCAAAATTTTATCACGTTTTCTAATTTTAAGTGCCCGAATTATTTGCAAAAAAAGTGCTCCAACTATTTTCAGAATTAGTTATAATCTTAAAATTTCAGCTACAATTATATCTCTATGCATTACACAATGATCAGATAATTTTTGTTGTATTTATGTATTAGTGTGTATAATGGCATATAATATTTTTTATAGGTAGATCTTAATTAAAAGCTGAATTTATTTAAAATAATATTGATTGAAAACGTTCAACTACTTGCTCTACAATGTTTGCATAAATCATTTTGTCTATGCATCGCACGGGTGAAATACTAGGGCATAAGTTGTCTTATACTTCATTGGAGGCTAAAATACATTTTTAGTCCCTGCAAATATGGCACACTTTGTTTTAGATCCCTGCAAAATATTTTTTTTGTTTTTCATCCCTGTAATATGCACCATTTTGGTTTTAGTCCTTCTAAAATTTCAAAACCACTCTACTCAGGAAAAAAATTATTTCCGGTTGCATAGATTTACTAGAAATATTTAAATTTGTCATTTTATATTTTTTTTATGCTAATATGAGAGTAAAAATAATTTTAAACTAAGTATTCACATTTTAAAAATATATATCAAAAGCCTTCAAAAAAATAAAATAATTTTTTTTTAATAACATGACAAATTATTAGAGGAAATGTATTAGTCGGGGTTAATAAAATTGAAGAAGAACAGCGGAAGTCTTGAAATAAGAAGGTGTTACCGCCACATCCGAGCAAACATAGCCGGATGCACAGGCAATAAAAAAACAGTAATGATTAATCTATGAGTTCGTAACATAAAAAAATGTTTAATCCAGACTACATTTGATTAAGGTATCTTCTAGAACGCTCTCGGGCTCAAGCAGTCATCAATCAACATAAGCATCCAACTCATCACCTGTTTCAAAATTAAGGGAGGAGGAAGGAACACAAAACAAAAATTAGCTTTAGAGCTAAGTAAGTACTACCCAACCCCGTAAAATAATCAGGTTTGGTGAAAAATAGTTTTTCATATAATACTATATAAAAATGACACACTCCACCAAAATTCTTTTCTCTTTGATATTTCTCAAAATCACTTCTTTAATAAAAGTCCTCAACTTTTCTTTGAAAATACTCTAGTAACTCTTCTCTTAGAATTTCTCAAAATTCATTTCTTCTCTATCTTCCTAGTAATTTAGAAGGGCGGTGCTCAACACTCTGGTTGAGCCCGGTGGTTACGTTGTTATGTACGGCCACCCCGGGACTTTTGCCGGCACCACAACTGCTAATGGAAACGAAACGACTACCTTAAGTGTGCACACCCCCTAAAAGGGATTCCAAGCCCTCCGAGTAGTAAGTCGTCACGAGTAGTCGGGACTCAGTCTACCAACTACCCCACCTTTAGGATACTTCTGAATGATTAGGGACTACTACTACTACAACTTCTTCTTAAAAAAGGGATCATGGGTCCGAATGTCACTCAAACTCAAACTGTACTTCTTAGTAGTAGCAACCCTAACCACTCTACACATTTTAAGGGACGTGGAAAACCAACACCTCGAATTACTCCCGCGGTGCCTACCTCTTATGAAAAACATTCATTTTATCTTGAATAAAGATACACTTCAAAATATTTCTCAATCTCTCTAAACAGTCTAAAAAATATTTAATATCCCAATAACACATATTCATAACTCAAAACATGATCACACACAACATAATACACATATAATACGAGGAAAACATTTTGGATCGGTAGAGAAACTTACTTTAATCTTGATGCTCCTAGTTCGCCTCCTCTATTCCGCTCTCTAAGTTATCACCTTTTTAATTAAGATGATAAAATTAGTCACTTATTCTATTCTTAATAATTTAACCTATTTTCCTCTCATACCATCATTCGAATGAATGTATTCCTGTCACTTAGCAATTTGGTCCAATAATTATATCTAGCTAGTCCGTTCATTAACAATCACTGTTCCATTTTAATCCAATTCATGAAAAAGTAAACAGTCCATCAATCATCGGCCGAAATAGTTATTTGATTAAATAATCAGTCTAGTGACAAATTAACCAAATCCAATCTGTTGACAACTTAATTCCTACAGTATTATTTTCGCAGGCTATTATTATTATTATTATTATTATTATTATTATTATTATTATTATTATTATTATTATTATTAGATCATAAAACTAATAGTAGGATTGTCCCGTTTGCTATTAATAGTCCATTAATTCATATGGCCTAACTGATTCATTTTCGTCCAGCCTACGATCATCAGTATTCCTTTTTATTAGTACAGACCGATTAATTAGTTAAGTGAAAGGCTAGCTCGAACTAGTATTATTATAGGATTAATAACCAGTTGAGTTATTTTAATTAAAGATCCAGCCCGACTACTAATTTATACATACAACCTCCTAAATAGTACGGAATACGCAGCACATGAACAACCCGCTCACTCGATGGCCTTCTTCGTTTGATACATCGGAAAAATAAGAGAAAACGCAGGCTTACCTTTCCCGGCCGATGAGCGGTACATAGGGGCTAGGGCAATCTCTCAGCGATGGTGGTCTTTAGAGGCGGCAACCCACTCCGGCGACGCAACAGCTAATAGCCTAATATTAAATTAGGTAATAGCCTAATGTTAATTTAGGAATAATTTGTATTATTGGAAACTCTTATTATTATAAATATACCTGCCAGGTACCCTATTGGGGTAACCTTTCCCATTATTTCACATGGTATCAAGAGCCTAAATTTTTTTCTTTCTCTCTCCTTAACCCTCGTTCGATCTAGGCCTTCGGCCGCTGCCTTCTCTTCCGCCGAAACCATGGCTTCCACCACTGAAATTTCTTCCTCCTCCATGGATGCCTTCACTGCTGCTTCTACCTCCTCGACTATGGCGCCGGTTTCTGCCCCTTTTACCGACGCAGCCGTGGTCCTCACTAGCGCCTCTGTCTCCTTGACCGAGCCGCCGCCAGTGATTTCTTCTCAACCGGGATCATCTTTGCACACTGCCGGTTCCCCTATTGTTACGGATGGTCCGTACTCTCTGTTTCACACCATCCCTTCGGTACTCCCATGGCAGCCACCGGTCATTCCTGCTGCCGGCAGTCTCTTCTCAACTCCGGTACCGTCTACCGCGCAACCGCTACACCCCACCCCTGGCAGTTTTGGTTCAACATTTTTCGGTGCTCCTGGGATATCTCGGCCGCATGATCCCTCCCTATTTCAGTCTCCGATGGCAGTGGTTTCTCAATCCATCTCACCGGCCAACAACGTTACTCAAATTGTTACTATTAAGCTTAAAGATGTGGAAGATTACATCACCTGGCGCACTCAATTCGAAGCTTTCCTCGTCTCTCAAGGTGTGTTTGGTTTCTTGGATGGTTCCACAAAGGTACCTCCGATGTACACGATTGACTTTAATAATCATCAAATAATTAATACGGAGTATCATCACTGGTTAAGGGTTGATCAAACAATTCGTTCTTGGATTTTTGCTACTCTTACTCGTGATGTATTAATTGATGTCCATGAACTTAAACACTCCTTTGAGATTTGGGAAAGATTGCAAAATCGTTTTCGTTCTGCTAGTCTGGCTAGAGCAATGACACTTAGGCGTTTATTGTCTAATGTGAAAAAGAAGGAAAATCAGTCTATGGAAAATTATTTAAGAGAAATTCATGCATTAGTAAGCGAATTAGCTACAATAAATTCTCCTGTGTCCGATAAAGAAGTTCTTCAAACCACACTTATGGGGCTCGGACCAGAATATGAATCCACCATGGGCACTATTTCTCTTTTTCCCGATAATTTCCCGCCAGACATTCTTCACCGGAGCTTGTTAGAAGCCGAACAGAGGGTCCTATATCTTCGTCAGCAAAATACTCCGCCTGCTTACCAAGCTTTCGGTGTCCAAGATCGAGACAGAGCCCCACATGGAGGCCGCGGTGGCCGCGGCAGGGGTGGCCGTGGAAGAAACGGCCGCGGCAGAGGCCGTGGTTACCACCAGTACGGCCAGCAACCGAGCCACGGGCAGCAGCAGTCAGCTCCGCAGCAGGGCCAGCAACCGGGACAGCACCATCAGCAGGGGTTCGGCCAGCAACAACTGAGACCTCCGAATGCAGGTGCCATGAGTAATTCTGTTTTGTCCACCTTAAATACTAATGCTATATTATATTGTGGTACTAATGTTAAATCTGCAGGCTCTTCATCAACTGGGGGAATTCTTGGGGCAATTCCCCCACCCGTTGTGTGTCAAATCTGTTTTTCTGCAGGCCATTCTGCAATCAACTGTCCCTCTCGTTTTTCTCCATCTACTGCACCTGTTCTTCTCACCGGTCAAGCTAATGAAGCTCTGTGGTATCCAGACACTGGTGCTTCTGCTCATATGACTTCCTCTGAAGGTATTTTGACAAATAAATCTACTTATTCTGGTCCAACTATTGTTAGTGTTGCTAATGGTGCTCAACTCCCTATAAAACATGTTGGTGATATTTCTTTAAATTCCTCTGGCCGCCAACTGCTGTTGAAATCTGTTTATCATGTGCCTAATATTAAATTTAATTTAATTTCAATTCAAAAATTGTGTGCTGATAACAACTGTGTTGCTATTTTTGACAAAAATTCCTTTTTTGTTAAGGACAAAATTTCGGGGGCGGTTCTTCTTCGGGCAACAACTAATGGCCATCTCTATCCTCTCAGCCTGAGTCCACCATCTAGCCTAGCTTTATCTTCAGTCCTCACCACCGGCCCTGTGTGGCATCGTAGATTAGGTCATTGTGGTGAAAATATTTTACGTATTTTAAGTGGTCAAAAACGCATATGTAATAGCTCTAGTTTTTCCCATGACTGTATTTCTTGCCGGTTAGGCAAGTCTCAACGATTACCCTTTTCAGATGCTATTCACACTTCTTCCTCTGTTTTACAATTAATTCATTCTGATGTGTGGCAATCTCCTGTTCTTTCTAATTTAGGGTTTAAATATTATGTCTGCTTTATTGATGATTTTTCTCGTTTTACATGGATTTACCCATTACGTCATAAAAGCGAGGTTTTTGACTCTTTTAAAATTTTTAAACCTTTAGTTGAAAATCTTTTTAACTCTAGAATTAAAATTTTTCAAAGTGATGGAGGGGGTGAGTTTGTTAATTCTCATATGCAGCAATTTTTTGATACTCATGGAATTTATTTTCAAAAATCTTGCCCTCACACTCCTCAACAAAATGGGCTTGCTGAACGTAAACATCGTCATCTACTTGAACTAACTAGAACTATGCTTATTGAGGCATCTCTTCCTAGTCATTTTTGGGTTGATGCGTTGTTTACGGCTGTATATATTATTAACAGATTACCCACTCCAACGTTGTCTGGTCACTCTCCTTATGAAAAACTTTTTCAAAAATCTCCTGATTATTCCCTTTTACGTGTCTTTGGTTGTGCGTGTTTTCTAAATATTTCTGCCAGTTCCTCCAATAAACTTTCTCCCCGATCCATTCAATGTGTTTTTCTAGGATATGCATCTGGTTATAAAGGTTATCGTTGTCTTGATCCTCAAACCGGAAAAGTATACATAAGTCGGCATGTGCGTTTTTGTGAAAATATTTTTCCGTACACCACTTTGACCTCTACTATGCATAACACGCCTTCTACCTCCCAAACTCCTCTCCCTATTTCCTCCTGGAGCCGATCAGACTTACTCTCAAAGGACCATCCCCGACCTGCTCTCTTACCTCTTCCTCGGAATCCTCGGCCCATCCCAAACCAGCCACCTCAGTCCCGCCATACGGCCTGTCCGACCACCCCAACCTCAAACCCCATCCCGGTCAGCTTCTCCAGTCCGGAACACCTCGCTACACCGGACACCAAGCAGCTCGAGCTCTCCTCAGCTGAGTCCAGTCCACCGACCAGCCCTGTATCTGACCCCACTCCATTTCAGCCGAACAACCCACCTATCACCCCATCTACAAACCCACTGCCCAGCCCCGCACCTGAGCCCGAACAGCACCCCCCTTCCCCGGTTAATGTCCACCCGATGCAAACTCGGGCGAAATCTGGAATTTTTAAACCAAAAACTATTTTTAATTTAAACACGGTTGTTCTTTCAGCAGATCCTACTTGTTTTTCTGAGGCAAATAAACACTTGATATGGCGTAAGGCTATGGCTGAGGAATTTAATGCACTTATTGCTAACAACACTTGGGATTTGGTACCTTTTGATAACTCTAAACATATTGTTGGCTCTAAGTGGATTTATAAGACAAAATTTCTTTCAGATGGGTCTATTGAGCGCCACAAGGCACGGTTAGTTGCTCAGGGGTTTAATCAGCAGGCTGGTGTAGATTTTTCTGAAACGTTTAGTCCTGTTATTAAACCCACCACTGTTCGTACTGTTCTCACTTTAGCTATTTCATTCGGGTGGGTTATGCGTCAGCTTGATGTTAAAAATGCTTTTCTTCATGGTCATCTTACTGAAGAAGTTTATATGTGTCAGCCGCGGGGTTTTATTCATCCTCAGTATCCTCATCATTTATGTCGTCTGCGCAAGGCTATTTATGGTCTTAAGCAGGCCCCGCGGGCATGGTTTCATAAGTTCAGTAGTTTCCTACTTTCTCATAACTTTTTATGTAGTAAGTCGGATAACTCTCTATTCATTTACCGCCAGGGCACTTCGATTATTTATTTGTTACTATATGTGGATGACATTATTATTACTGGCAATTCATCATCTGTTGTCACTCAGTTCATTCATCTTATTGCTCACCATTTTTCCATGAAAGACTTGGGTGATCTTCATTATTTTCTTGGCATTCAGGCCATTCGTAATCCTAAAGGTTTGTTTCTCTCCCAGCAGAAATATGTCTCTGACCTTTTATCTCGCTTTCATTTACACACTGTCAAGTCAGTTCGCACTCCCCTTGCGTCTCGTACTTCCTTATCTCTCACTGATGGCGAGCTACTTGCAGATGCGACTGAGTATCGCAGTATGGTAGGTGCATTACAGTATTTAACTTTGACAAGACCTGATATTACTTATGCAGTGCATTTAGTCTCTCAGTTTATGCATGCCCCACGCATTACTCACCTTTTTGCTGTCAAAAGGATTTTTAGATATTTGCAGGGTACCATTGATCATGGTTTGTGGCTTCAGCCCACACCAAAGGCGACTTGCATTATAGCATACTCGGATGCAGATTGGGCTGGGTGTCCCGACACGTCTCGGTCCACCACGGGTTATGCTGTTTTTCTAGGACCCAATCTCGTGTCTTGGAAATCCAAGAAGCAGCCTACTGTCTCCAAATCCTCTACAGAAGCAGAGTATCGTGCTATTGCTTACACGGTGCAGGACACACTTCATATTCGGTCCATTCTGTTGGAGCTTGGATTTACTGTCACGGCCCCAGTTCGTCTGTTCTGCGACAACATCTCTGCTTCCTACTTGACAGCGAATCCTGTTCAACATGCTCGGAGCAAGCATATTCAGATTGATTATCACTTTGTTCGTGAATGCGTGGCTCATGGTGATCTTGTCGTTAAATATGTGCCTACTAGTCTTCAACTGGCTGATATATTTACTAAGAGTCTCTCTAGTCAGCAATTTCATTTTTTAAAGGACAACCTGCGCGTTGTATCTCCCGCACAGTTTGAGGGGGTGTAATAGCCTAATATTAAATTAGGTAATAGCCTAATGTTAATTTAGGAATAATTTGTATTCTTGGAAACTCTTATTATTATAAATATACCTGCCAGGTACCCTATTGGGGTAACCTTTCCCATTATTTCACAACAGCTACTGTCCCTCCCTTTATCTCCGGCGTGAAAGGTAATCCGGCCGCTATCTCCAGAGATCGATCCCCTTCCCTTCCGGCAGCGCTCGTCTCTCCGTCTCTACCCCTTTGTTCTTTCCTTCCTTTTTCTTTCTCTCTTTCCTTCCTTTCTTTCGTGGATTTGTGAGTTAGGTACTGTGTAGTGTTATATAAGCTGAAGGTTTATAATTCGTGTGGTGTGCTGCAGCGAAGATTCATCTAAAAGCCTCTAAATATACACACGCATGGAGGGTTCTAGGCTTCAAGTTATACGTTAGAGACCTTTTGCATTTACTTCAAATTATTGAGCTTCTCTTTACAACGTTGTAACGTAGCATTCATGCAGTGAGGCTTGGCCTTTGAATTCATACGTTAGTATTTAGGTATAGTAATGTATAGTTAATTAGCTTATTGTTGAAAATTCAACTTAATTGACATTATTATTCACATGAGTTACTTACGCATTATGTTTTTAGCCAAGGTAATCATGCGGTCACGAGTAAAGACGTTCCTCCGTTTTTTTTTATTTGCAACGATCCACTTTTCACGTTTGCCAACGCACCAGTTTGACTATTAATATCTCTCATTTCGTATCAGTAAAAAAAATTAAAAGAAATAGATTATAAAAATTTGAAGTGAGAGGAATTTAACAATATTTTTTAAAAAAAAAAATAATTTACAATATATTACCTTTTAATTTCTCAAAATTCATTTCTTCTCTATCTTCCTAGTAATTTAGAAGGGCGGTGCTCATCACTCTGGTTGAGCCCGGTGGTTACGTTGTTATGTACGGCCACCCCGGGACTTTTGTCGGTACCAAAACTGCTAATGGAAACGAAACGACTACCTTAAGTGTGCACACCCCCTAAAAGGGATTCCAAGCCCTCCGAGTAGTAAGTCGTCACGAGTAGTCGGGACTCAGTCTACCAACCACCCCACCTTTAGGATACTTCTGAATGATTAGGGACTACTACTACTACAACTTCTTCTTAAAAAAGGGATCATGGATCCGTTTAACGGATTAATAGTACTACTCATACCAACAAGGTGCATCTCCTTTTAAGGGAGCTCATTAGCCAAGAACTCCAAAGTTAAGCGTGCTTGCACAGGAGTAGTCTTGGGATGGGTGACCCTCTGGGAAGTTTCTCAGGGCGCGCACGAGTGAGGACAAAGTGCGCGTAAAAGGCTAGTGGCGGTTTGTGAGGACAGTACTATTGGTCCGGAGTAACTACCTCGGGTCCCACGGGGCCGGGGTGTTACAAATGGTATCAGAGCAACCATGCGACAGTGTGCTGACCCGTTAGATATCGGGCGGGCACTTAGCGGGGGAGGATTCTGGGATTTGATTGAGATTTGAGATTGGTTCAAGGGCGCAACGAGGACGTTGCGATCCTAAGTGGGGGTGATTGTAACACTTGAGATTTAATATAAACGGATTAATAGTACTACTCATACCAACAAGGTGCATCTCCTTTTAAGGGAGCTCATTAGCCAAGAACTCCAAAGTTAAGCGTGCTTGCACGGGAGTAGTCTTGGGATGGGTGACCCCCTGGGAAGTTTCTCGGGCGCGCGCATGAGTGAGGACAAAGTGCGCGGTAAAGGCTCGTGGTGGGTTGTGGGGACAGTACTATTGGTCCGGAGTAACTACCTAGGGTCCTACGGGGCCGGGGTGTTACACAAGTTGTCTTATATTTCATTTTTACTTACCTATTACTCTTTAATTTGTAATATAATACGTGGATTAAATATTTTGGCCGTGCATCGCACGGGTGAGATACTAGTACTTTTCAAGAACAAGAATGTTTAATTATGAATGTGTACTGTGTTTAACATGTATTATCCAGAAACTGAATCCAATGAAAATTAGCTCTAGGTATAAAACGAAATATATATATATATATATATATATATATATATATATATATATATATATATATATATATACTACGTATAATGGATTGTTTGAGATTTTTAGCTTGAACAAATAGATACCTCCTGCTTTAGAGAAATCAGTCCCGGTCGTTAAAGAAGAAAGAGCTAAGGTTATGCTAAGGTTATGTTTTGTTGTTGTAGAGGTCAAAGCATTCTTCTATATCATCCACAAGTGAAGAATCAA